ACAAATTAATTTCAATGTGAATTTCAATTCATTCTACTTGATCTCGACAACTCGATTCAATTCGAATACGAGATCATCGACGTGGCAGAGACAATCAGTGTTGCAACAGGTTTTCTTTCCGCCAACTATCGGATAAAGATATCATTTCATCGTCCAAGGGAAAAGAAACACATATATTATTCCGCTCGAGTTCGATTTCTAGCTCGCCGCGGCGAAACAGAGCGAGATCGGCGAGATCTCTCGTTCTCGGTTCATGCGTTCTCGGTCCGCGACGAGACACAGGCGCTAGATGCGGTATCTCTCGCCGGGAGAGAACGGTGGAAAAATCACGGCAAATCTCAATCGAGCGAGAAACGTCCTGGCTTGGAATGATCTATGGATGGAGATCGATCTCTCACGTGGTGAACTAGCACGGAGAGAAGGCGGAGGTGTATGGTTGTTGCGATATTACGACACAGAGCTGTGGTAGGGAGCTGAAGCACGAGTCTCTCTCTCCCTCGAGAGAAAAGAAGGCTGACTCTGGGATCGTTCGCGATCACCGTGATCTATGGATCACGATTTCTTCTTGCCAGGACACTTTCCGTTCGAACCCGTGTTGCACCGTGTTGTTCCGTGCTCACGACTCCGACGCGTATCGTGGTTGTTTCTTTCTTCCTTTTTTTTTCTCTCTCTCGATCGCTTCGTTAGGAGAGCAGAATGATGAACGAGAGTTCACGTACGCGAACTATATTGGCTGGGAAAATGTTGTTTCTTTTCGATGTTATTGTCTTTCTAATTGCTTAACTTTAGGTGTTGTATTTTTTTTGAATGTATATTTTTTATTGGTTCTCTAGGATCTGAAATGAAAATTATGTTTTATTGTATTGGTAAAATTTGAATGTACAAGAAATTGTAAGATATTTATTGCAATATATTTAGTAAAAAAGATGGTCCAATAGAATGTTGAAGTGATGTAACGAATTATAATTGTTTAATATTTTTTAAATATTTCTATGAACATGCATATTTTTAGATATTTTTAAACTTGTCCGATATTTATAAAATCTCCTCTTATAAGTAAGTGTTCAAACATTAACTATATACCTAATAATTTTCGTCAGAGATGCTCCAAAAGAATATTGTTGTTTAAATAAACTTTTGTCTTCACTATGAAATACAATATTTCAGTAACTTTTACATACATACATATCTTTAGATATTTTTCAAACTTGATCACAATATAACCATAATTGTCGCGTCTCGTTGGTGTTGATGATATTTTTAAACATTTTACACAGCATATACAATACATTTAGAAAATTTTCCACGCTTTTGTGAACCTACTTGTTTCAAATATCTTGCTGTGCATATTTGAAAAATTTTGTCTAAAAAAACTGAACCAATAATAATCGCGATAATTACGTTGCAATGATTTGCGAGATCGTTTCACTGTATTGTTTACGAGTGTTTGCGGCGTGAGTTGATTATGAACGAAACGAAAAGCTGCGAGACCATGATGCGAGAAAGAAGGAGAAGCACGACA